TGCTTTCCTCTAATCCCTCTTGTGTACAAGATACTTCTGAAGGTCTGCAGGGACAGAGCCAAGGTAATTGTCATGGCCCCAGTGTGACCTCAATAACACTAGTACAGCAGATTCCTACTAGTATCAGTAGATGCCCTGATAGTGTTACTACTCCACCTCTATCTGATCACTCAGGACCATGTTCACCTTCACCTGCAGTCCCTCCATACCATGGCCTAGAAGTTTCATGGTGAAACCCTATGGAACTTTTGTGCTTGGCAACAGTAAGAGAGGTCCTACTTGGCAACAGGGAACCGTCCACCAGGGCCACTTACCTAGCTGAGTGGGAAAGGTTCACTTGCTTGTGTGCCTAGTGTTACATGCCTCCACTCCAAGCACCTCTATTCTCATTTGAGAGTATCTTCTCCACCTGAAACAAGACCTAGAAGTGGCATCCATCAAGGTACTGCTATCTTAGCTGTTCACTTAGGAGCACCCAGATGCTTAGACAGCCTGTCCCTGCATTGGCCTTTAACTTGGTCCTCTGCAGACGAATGGAGCCCCTGTTTGAACCACTGGCAACTTGAACTGAGGTGGCATGGGATTGCCAGAGTCCTGTATCCAGAGCCATAAAGGCACCACTCCAGAGCCTTCACAGCCAACCTGATGGGAGCTGCTAAGGGAAAATATTCTGATAATTGTGCATACACCTGATTGGAATGGACATAAACAGCACATCTCGAACAGCAGTTACAAGAAGGTTAGTCATTGTTTTTTCTTGTATAGTTGATTTGAAGAAATTCCAAGCCACCACCACATTGAAGTTATTTTTGCTCTTCAGGAGTTGTCTTCCTTATGTAATTATTTTAATTTCTCAAAATCTACCCTTTTTACAATAAAAAGTCATATTTGACACAGCTGGTTTTTATTATCTTTTTTCTTAACCTGAATCAGCCCATGATCGCTTGATCCAAGGTTATTTCCTATGACTAGCTGTTCTTTGATGTCCTCAGTACTCATCACAATAAGTCTAAAATTGCATGTTGGTTCAGTGATGATTTGAGGAAGAAAACTGTCATCCATCACATCTAGAATTATGTGAATCTCACCAATATTAGTCTCCAGGAAGTTAGTCTTTCATTATGATTGTTCCCAGTAGTATCTATCTCTAATAATATTGGAGATCTCTGTGCATATAAAGTCTGATCATGGGGGTCTATAGCAGGCCTCTGATGCAATCGCAAAATGACCCTTTTACAATCCTTCCGCAAAGTGATTTTAACCCAAACAGATTCTGTTCTCTCCATACAGTCACTTTGTAATTCTTTAATTTACCACTTGTTGACATACAACACTCCTATATCACCTTTACTTTTATTCCTCTTGCTCGTATACTGCATATATCCTTCCAGTCATTAATGTTGTATTTATTCCAGTCATTAATGTTTCTGTAATCAGTATAATATCTGATTTCACTTCTGCACCAGTAGCTCCAATTCCTCTATTTTTATATACAAGCATTTCAGTTGTTTCCCTCAGATTTCACTCCGCTTTTTTGCTCGTGATGTTCCATTATCATTTACTGTATATTTTCCAGTTCCTATGTATAGAAGCCAGATGTAGAGATTTCATGAGTCTCTCTCTCTCAATATTTTACCCTCATCTGCTAGTTTAAAGGTCGTCTTGTCAATTAGCTGAGACAATGAAGTTCACCGTGCCTTTATCTGTTCTGACTGCAAAGTCCTGGTCCAAGTTATGTTAGAATGTGCTTTTCAAGAGTCAGGTTAACTAACAGGATAAAATGTTATAATCAAGGCAAGCTGTGGGACTTGCCCATGGCAGCCATGGTGGGAGGTTGTAGGAAACAGCCTAGCTCTTGAAGATTGAAGATACTAGCCGCTATAGAGCAGAGAACAACCAGCCTGAGACCCCAAGGAGGGAAATTACACTCTCACCCTCCCTTCCTACTGGATCCTAACTTCAATAAGTAGGTAGGAGGCCCAAAGACATCTCACGTGTATCTGTTGGGAGGTAATGATTGCTGGGGACAAACCATCTTCTCTTTCATGCACACTGCAGGGAAAAGCAGGGAGCATTTTCATTGCTTACGGAAACTTCCTGCCTTGGATTTGCTCTGCCTCCCTGTTCTAATAGAGCTTTTGACTTTTCTGCTCTTTGCCATAGCACCTCCTCAGTCTGACCACTGGATGTGTAAAGTTAGGAAATAATGTTGGTCAGCCCGTTATTCACAACTCTTCTGAACACTTAGCCTCTTCTTTCATTAGATTACCTGCAGTAAGGAAAGAAGTTGGGCTCAAACTTAATTTTAAATAGAAATGTCAACACTATACTCATCCATTCTGTAGCTTTTTCGTTCACTAAGTTTTATGTAATAGAATTTATTTTTACCTTTTTCTTTAGCTAACAAAACATAAAACATCCTTAGGAAATTATACAAAAAATTCCATATGTTAAAAGAACATAATTTAAGTTGCACTCAGCACTCGGTAGTTAGGAAATACCAGATTTATCTAGTAGGGGGGGAGAAAAAAGTCGGGGGAAAGACGAACATACACATTAATATTTGGAAATATTTATGCCAAGTGAAAAATCTGCTCTCTATATATGAAAGAATTTGTGTGTCCATCCATGTGCCTGCCTGTCTGTTCAAAAACTCCTCCTAAATGGTAAGAGTTGGGACAACCAAATTTGGTATCCAGCTTCCTCTTATCATAACTCAAAGCAAGGTAGGGATTTGGTTGTGCCAGGAAAAGGGGAATGTGCTTGGAACGGGATTTCTTCTCAGAAAATTGTACAGAAAAGAGACAGAATCACCAGGCAGGTGAAAGGCACTGGCTAAGGGCATGCTCCATCCTCCTCCTTCCCTCCTCTGGGACTGCCTTTAGGGAGGGCAGGGGCTGAAGCTCCATTTCCCCGTTCCTCCCCCCATTCATAAGGGGACATTGCTGGTTGTTTCCCTTCATCAGGGAACGAGGGGAAAGTGTATAGTTTTGTGCATTCTTCACGCTGGCTGGGGAGCACAGAGGAGCAGACAAACCCGCACCTGCCACAGCTGGGGGACATGCATCCCTCCCCTGGTTGTGCCTGCTGGAGCTGCAGCAGCCATGGATAGGTGCTTCACACCTGACCCCACGCTGCTGTGGTGAGAAAAGGCTGGGGCAGTCCTCTCTCCCTGGGGCAGCCTGCATACTGAGCCCCTTGTCTTCTGTCCCACCTTAAATCAATGATTTAAATGAAGCATATACATTATCTTTTTTAAAAAATGAGTTAAGAGCCAGAGCAACAGTGGGTAAATCTTCTAGTATTGAATAATATGGGTATGTTAGGATTATTTTTACTCATTCTGATATGTCTCTACAAATGACTTTACTTTTTTACTTTCTATGTACTATGTCAGGCTAACGGTGCTGTCTGTTCCCCCGTAACAATATATATCTTGTGTAAATATTTGTATGTAAATATTGCCTTGTTTAATGTTTTAGCTTGGTGTAGGTTTTGGTTTAATTTATCATTTTCTGTTTCATCTTTTAAAATTATTGGTATATTAATCTTCTGTTACTTGGATAATAATGTTTGTAGTCGCTTATGCTATAAATACACATAACATCAGCTGGCAAAATTTTCAATATTGGGAGCTTTAAGTTTGGTACTTAATTCCATATTTAGATGCTTAAACAAATGGCTTTATTTTTAAAAGTATTAGGCACCTGTAACTATTTCTGATGCTCTGTCTACTTAAGGGAGGGAGATAGGGAGATATATGTTTATAAAATTTTGATCCTTGGCCTCTTAACTAGTCTGAAATGCTAATAATAATTGAAATGCTAATAATAATGTTATAAATTAATACAACTTCAAAAAATAGTGGAGTCCATGACCTTTGTACCACTATTAAAAGCTTGCTTCCATTACATGGTGGATCGATGCTGATGGTTGATCCACTGGCCTTCGATTTATCGCATCTGCTTAAACGTGGTAAATTAATCTCCAGGCACTCTCCTGTTGACTGTAGTGCTCCATCAGGATGAGGAAAGTAGACAGGAGAGTAGCTCCTGCAATTTTACCACACAGCAAACACCACAGTAAAAAGGTTAACTTCAACTATGGTATCTGAGTAGTTGAAGTCACATAGATTAGGGCAGGGGTTAGTGTAGAGAAGGCCTAAGGTTCAACACCTCACATTGCTAAACTGACTGGATTTTCTTTAGAAACTAGCTTTTTTCTGTCTCCTAGTTTGTCTTCAAAAGGTCGATTCATAGAAGGAAATGCTATAAGATCATTTGAAGAGGAAGTTCTTTTATAAGAAATTTATGTAAAGTGTAATGTACAGAAGCTGAATATCTTCTATGTTCATTGTATCTCTTGTAAGCTATTCACTGCTTACTGTATGTACTGAATAGTGTACTTTCACTTAATTGATATACAGTACATAGCAGTAGGTCATCAAGTGTGAAGAAGGGACAGACATGAAAGGGTTACATAAGCTTTAATATTGATGCATATAAAGTACTGAATAGTTACATTTCAGTTTTCTGCTCCCATAATATATAATCATCTTGTGATTTGCAGAGAGGTTTCAATAAATATATATATATACTTAATTAATTAATATACCTCCTAGGAGAGCAAGTATTAAAAAGGGAGAAGTACAGTGTAGTACCCCAATCTCCAAATAATTAGTGTCTCAGGCATCAGTTATTTTGCCCACTCCTAGGAATATCACGTATGAGATAAAGAATCAAGTCTATTTTATTTAACAGGAGATTTCAATTTTTAGAAAATTAACTACATAATTGATTGGCTCTATTATTACCTGTGTCTGACACTATGGAAAATTGAAAATCACAATGTCAGTCTTTGATTTAAAAAACAAACTAACTTGAGGTAACTGTACCAGTATTAAAAAATCAGGTGCAATCAGATGTATAACTTTGTGTTAGAACATGTTTTAAAGATTCTGGTGCATTTTCTTGCAGTGACAGAAGGTTTTGGTTTTACAGGTACTTGCCTCCAGAGTGTTTTGTAGTTGGCAAAGAGCCACCAAAGATTTCAAACAAGGTTGATGTATGGTCAGTTGGAGTCATTTTTTTCCAGTGTCTTTATGGTAGAAAGGTGAGATAAAATGTGTTTAAAAGTGTTGTACATCTTTAAGGCAAACTTCTCTACTTATATCTCCACTACACACTGAAATTGTGGTAATAAAGATGTTAAATTGGTATTACTTTCATTTCTGAGTATTGATAGTTTGTTGATAACTCTTTCAAGCAAGAGGTAGAGAAACAAATATCCTAATCTGACATAAAAATGTCATTTTACTTAAGTGTAAGATATTTTTATTAGCACACAGGCAATTTAAAATCACATAAATTAAAATAAAGATATGTTGTCACTGAAATTGATACTTGAATCCTTCATGAAGAAATTTATCTGAATTTAATTTATTTTTCAGCCATTTGGTCATAACCAATCACAACAAGATATCTTGCAAGAAAATACAATATTAAAAGCTACAGAAGTCCAGTTCCCAGTTAAACCTGTTGTAAGCAATGAAGCCAAGGTAACATATTTGTTAGCCTCATTAATTGACATGATGCAAGTAATGAATGTATTGATTAGTTTTAAAGTATTAACTTCTTTAAATTAACACTTATTTAAGAATACCTGGTTACAGCCTCTCTTTAGAACTTGAAATTATATTAGTGTTTTTTGTACAATATGTCTCTTTTGAGACTTATTCAAGATCACATGCCCAAAGTAATCTCTGAAAGAAGTACTTCATTTCACATTTATAGTGTATTTCCTCCGGAAGGACTCCAAAGTGCTTCAAATCAGACCTTCCCAAAAATCCCTGACAATTTTTGGTGTTTATTCCATAGAAGACATTGCTGCCTTACCATATTAGCTAATTTAGTTGGTTGGCATCAGGCTGCTTCTGAAAACAGTGAATAAATCTGATAGAACCAGCCAACTTCACTGTTGGAATGCGCCTAGAAAATGCTCCCTTGAACATTCATGGTGTGCCAGTCACATTAACTCAAGCCTGATTTAAAAAGTACATGTTCTCAAGATCAGATCAGCTTCACGAGGAACAAAAATATCAAAATAGTTGGACTTCCATAGGGCATACAAGGCAGAAATCCATACATTTAAAAACTCATATTATTTTGGGGACTAAAAGAAATATCTAACTCCCGACTGCCTGGACGTTCTATTCAAGATTCTACAGTAAAGTGAGGATAAAAGAAGACTCCAGTTACTTTGATTATTAAAACTGTGGACAGCTATACCATAGACTAGATCCTAGAAATTTAGGGGAGAAAAGAAATCTGAGGTACTTGATTGTAAAATTGTTCTTATGCTCACTCTGGATGTTAGTGACCCAACTCATGCAAAAGCCCTTTAGCTAGTTCAAAGTAATGCTGTAGGAAAAGATGTGTGTGCTACCTCTAGTTGGAAAACAATTAACGTAACCGATCCAATTGGTGTAGAAGTAGGAACATTGTAGTAGAATCTTGTTCAAATAAGTAAGATTCTTCCTCTGAAGGCTAAGAGGGTAAAGTAGACATAATTTAACAAATGAGGAGAGTACTTTTCAGGAAGATGCGAATCTTTTTGCAATGAGCCTTTTTGCTATGGCTTGTTCTGTTCGTGATATTTTTAAAAGGAATTTCATATTGAGAAAATTATAGTTAGGGGTCACATAAAGTTTAAGTAGTCATTTCAAGAAAAATTGCTTGTCCTGTCATTTTTGTTCTCAGTTTGGAAAATTTGGGTCTCTTGTATTCAGTTACAGGACATAAGCACATATAGGATGAGAATAGGATGAGATGGATAAGTTTACATTTTCAATAGTTTATGCGCCTTACCTTTTAGTTTGTGTCTGATATTTTTTGTGATTGAATGTATTGAAGGGGAAAGCATGAAGCAACAGCTATTTAAGTATGGTTATAGTAAGAAAATGGCTATTTAAAACTGGCAACTTATTACCATGTTTTAATTCTGAAGTAGTATTTGCTTCCATTTAGTGACAAAAAATAATTTTTACTTCCCTTTTACTGCTGTTAGCATTAAATAACCCTTGTACTTATTTGAGAGAGATTAATTCTTTTCTGATATGCACACCATAATCAAGTGCAAACTAACCTGCAGTTACAGACTTTCAATTGATGGCAACGTGGAAGCAAGAAGGAAACCAGATTCACATTCAGATTTATAGACATGGAAGTTGGAAAAAACACGTTGTAAACTGAAAATTGATATAAAATCATTGAGATTAAATAAACATGAATATTTTAATGATGTTTTTACGGTCAGCTTTCTGTATGTGACTGCACTTTAAGATCCTCATGTCATTTTCTTCCTAATTGTGTTTAGCTGGTTGTGTGTGCGCGTGCGCTGTGGTTTTTTAAATGTTTATTTATTTATTTATTTATTTTGCTTTATGTTCGCTATTGTTTCTACTATATTATAGGTGCACAAAGATTTTAAAAACAAAATTCTGCCCCAGGGACATCACAAACTATTTTCAATAATTAATTATTTTTTTTAATGCCCAAGAACTGCTTAATATTAATATACAAACACATATATTTGCATGATTTTTTACTTGTCAAGTAGGGAAGTAACATTGTTCTTTTCTAAAGACCTGCACATATTGGATATGAAGTAGTTACAGTAAATTATGATGAAACTGTTATGTACAAATCTGCTTTCTATGAAGTTCACATCTATAACAAATGTATGTTTTTCTTTGATCCTAAGTTTTTATTTTAGAACAAAAGGTAAAAAAAAGTTTTGAAATTATGAATGAATGGAATGTTTTTTTTAAATCGCATTTCACCAAGCCTAGTTATGTAAGGGGGGGGAGTTTGCTGGGAGGGGATTTTCCAACCAGTAGCTAGCTTTTATAAAATACAAGATGCTAGAGATACAGTATGTTTCCAGCCTGGAAAGCTTATCAATAGTTTTTTGGCAGATTCCCTCATGTATAGGCAAAGCAGTGTGATTAAAACCTTCTTAAATTACAGAGGATAACTAAAATGGAATAATTTGGTCAGCTTCTCATCTACTCTCCTTCTGATTCACAGTGGAATTTTCTACAGTGTCCACAAAGAGAATCTACAGAAATCTTCTAAATTCTGGAAATTCACCTACCTTTGCAAATTTCTTACATGACATACGATCTTTTGAAAATATATTTGATTACGCATTCAGTAATCCTAGGACCATCTGACAGCCACTTAATTTCACTACCACAGTGCCTCCCAAATTCAATCTTTCTGAAATGGACAAAGATGATTCCTTCCCATCTACTGGCACCAATGTCCTATTTTTAGTACATTGCCATAGCTATCCTTGTTCTTACAGGAAAAAATATCACTAAATCTGCGAGCGAGAACACACTTCTAACAGCACTGAATGGAAAAACAAGTAAATGTGGGGCATTGATCCCATGTTTAGGGCAAAAGCATGGGACTTGTGAATCCTGGGGTGAGTTTCCTTTTCTATGACAGTTTTATTGTGCCACCTTGAGCCTTGATTTTTTAATATATATATAAGGAGAGATGGAAGTAGGGTTGCCTCCTGGATGGTTGTTATTAGGCTTGGCCAGTTCTTGGATTGCTTTGCTCATTAAAAGTGTTTGAGACATTTTGGTGTTTTTTTCTTCATTTTGGACACATTGAAGTGCTTGTGACAGAGTGCTGAGGCCTCAAAGATGGGCCACACTCTGATCACTTTTGTCTGTTTCCCCAGCAACTGCAGATTGAAGACTTTGTTAATTGGGCAGAGAGGCTGGATGAGTTCGCCCATCTGTTGACTATCTTGATAAAAAGCAGGAAGAAAGTGTTAGCAGGGGAGGAGGCAAAGCCTCAGAGGCGCCGGACCCTGCCATGGCTGCGGCTTTGCTCCCGGTGCCCCTGGTCTGCTGGGGACCGTCTCCAGCAGACCAGGGACACCTCGAGCAAAGCCGGGGAGGCGGAGGGGCGCTGGGGCGCTGCCAGTTAGCCTCTTAAGGGGGGGTAGTCTTATAAGGCGAGTATAAGACGAAAACCTATTTTTTAACTAGAAAATTAGGGGGTCGTCTTATACGCCCAGTCGCCTTATACGCCGGAAAATACGGTATACCTGGAAAGATCATATAAACCCATGCATTCTCTCCACATTCTCAGACTTCTGCATTAGCTTCAACTTATTGATTGCAAATATTATTTCAAAACAGTAATGTGTTTTGTGTTTAAAGATATTTGTTTTCGTGTAAAATGTGAATTCCATGGTTTATCCATGAAGTTTTTCAAATAAGATTAATTTTTAATCTGACATTAGATTTGTTGTTACATTCTGGTGGATTAACAAGCAATTAAACAAAATGCCACTAAGGATGGTTAGTGTGAAGTCAAAAGTAAGAAGAGAGCAGAAAACAGAAGCAGAACTTTAAATCACAGTAGGTGGTAGAAAAGGTAGTGAAGAGGTTTTCAATTTTACCCTTCTGCAGAAAAAGTCTTGTAGGCAGAAGGAGGAAGATTATCTTCAAAGATTTTTGTTACAAGCTACTATTGCCATAGAAATGCCAGGGGCATCTCTGAACCTTTCTATAGAATTCTGTCTACTCTGCATTTTCTTTAAACTTCCTATTGTTTTGACATAAGTTGCAAATTTCTGGGAACCTGTAGTTAATTACAAATTACATTATCTTGCTGAATTGAACCATTAGAAAACAACTCTTTTAGAATGTCAGACTGTTTAGAACGTGTTAAATCACTTGGAGGCAGAATTGGCTCATAAACAGCACTTATTTTGTTTGGAAGACTAATAATTTTTTCTTGTTTTTTCTAGGCCTTTATCCGACGCTGTTTAGCATACCGCAAAGAGGATCGATTTGATGTCCACCAGCTGGCTAATGATCCTTATCTTCTCCCTCACATGAGAAGATCAAATTCTTCAGGAAACTTGCATATGACTGGCTTGGCAGCATCTCCTACAACACCTACTTCAAGCATTATTTCATACTGAAATGTCTCCAAGTGAAGACTGGCATGATATCTTTGTAGTTTCCAAATGCAGACTAGTTTGTGAGCATTTGCGTGTTTTTACACAGGACAAGTTTGATTACTGTGTTTTCAGATTGAGGTCCTTCTGCTTAGTGTCATTTGTACGATGGGAATGGATCATGGACTGTGATTAAATTTACCCTTCTGACTGTAACCTTTAAACATTGAAGAATGACACTGCTTCTTGCACACAAAACGATGTGCTGTGTTTAAGAGTAAAGAAAAAGGTTTGGGTGTTTTGGGAGGAACACTGTAAATAATCTTTTTAATACTTATAAAGTACATTTGGTTGATACTGGAGAGTTCTACCATGAAGGGCAGTTTTTCATTATTTAAACAAGAAAAGTAATGGACAAATTTGAACACAGGAAAGGTTCAGTGTCTGAACATAGAAAAAAAACCTACTTCCGAAAGGGTTAAAACCAAAGTAAGAAGTGAGCATCACTGCTGTATTCTCTATTAAGCTTTTCAGATACAGTTACAGTTTTTTTGTTTGGCTATTTGGTCTTATTAAAGACTATAATTCAAAACCCATGTGTTCTTGTTTCACTAAGATTTGAAGATTGATGCATAACTTCTGATACATTGTCCCTCAAATAGCTACTTTTGAACACACCTGAATTCTTTAAACTTACTATATTTGTCACAAGTTTTGACAATGCTGCCACTTTTCAGGTCTTTGATAAAAGTAAATGATAGCATATATCCAAATGCAGACAGGTTATGTATAATGTTCTATGCAGGATAATGAGGAATTCCCTTCTAATGCTATTGTAAATTGTTGTACAGAGGTCATATTTTCAGTTATTAAATTTCAGCAACTTATTCCTGTACAAATGTTTAAAGTATGGCTTTTCTAATTGGATATTGTATTTTTTTTAAGTCTCCTTGAAGGCGCTTTTAATTGCTGCTAAATGATGTTGCTTTTACTTTTGCAAAAGAATCAAATGACCTCCTTAAAGTGCAAGTCAACTGTACGCTACAGAGAGAGTAAAAGTAGATAATTCATTAACAATCAAGGCATGTAAAAGAAATCTGTGCTGGACGTATACAGTACAGTTCTTTGAGTCAGTTTCTTGTGCTCTCAACCTGTAGAGCACGTTGATACTAGATGTAGAAGTTGTTCATAATTATTTTCTGTTCCTCGAAGTTCCTATCAGCAAGGAAATGTTTCTTGTGGCTTGTACAGATATTTTAAAATGTGAAACATTTTCTAACTGCCTTGTATGGTAGAGACTTATTTTTCAGAATTCTTTATCTCTCTTACGTACATTATTCCTTTTACTGTTCACATTCATGATGCTGAATACCTAAATGTCATTTTGTCCATGTTGCAGAAAAAGGAGGCTGTATTACCACAGGTTTTCATTTAATATTGTACAGTTAAACTGTGGCTCTTGTTTTTGATGTTGCAAGCCATTTTGTTTTCATTGTACATAAAGATACATTGACTGTCTCTTTAAGATGCTGCTGAAATTGTAGAGAATGTAGCCAAAACAGTAATAAACAATGACAGTTGAAATTTCAAGCATGTATAAAGTTATTGCATGTAGGGAATCAGCTTGCCACACCTCAGACATTGCTAAGTGCAATTTTTTAGCTCACAAATAAAAAAAACAGTAGAACTTAAATCTTTAAATATTTGAAGGGTCCCAAAATATTTCAGTCAGCAGTGAAACAAACTGCTGCTGTTCTTTTTTGCAGAGTCATTACTACATGTTGTTTCCCACAGAGTAAAACCTAACACGTTAGCACCAAATAGTGACTTTTCCTCCTGAGGTATGCAAAGAGCCCTCTCCCCATTATACCAGCCACATGGAAAGGACAAAGCTATTTCTCTTGCTCACTGAGCTCAAGTAGGAATCGGGGCAGGTGGCGTAGCTAGAAGTGTGTTATGCCATCTAAAAGTTGTATTACCTTTCCATACCATGCCTGCATTGATGTCTGCAATTGAGACGAGAAGTATTTTGCTTAAGCAAAAAAATTCAGGATTGAGCAAATTGAATTTTTGCTATTTAGATTGTTAATTATATATTACATCCATTATATGGTAGTGCCTAGGGGGCCCTTTAATAAGATACAGACTGTTCCTGCCTTAAAGAGCTTATAATTTTATGAATGTTGTTACATAAAAATTAGTTTTCACACATACTGACCCTGAGGATTTGGAATTTCATCTGTCTGGCAAGAAGGAATGTGGTTGTGAATTTCAGAAGTACAGGCAGTCCCCGGGTTACATACAAGATAGGGACTGTAGGTTTGTTCTTAAGTTGAATCTGTATGTAAATCGGAACTGGCGTCCAGATTCAGCCGCTGCTGAAACTGACCACCAGTTCTGACTTACATACAGATTCAACTTAAGAACCCCAAGTCAGCTCCTGTTGAAACTGATCAGCAGCTGATTCCAGGAAGCCCGGGGCAGAGCAACTGTGCCTCGGGCTTCCTGTAGTCAGCGCTGGTCAGTTTCAGCAACGGCTGACTTGGGTACGTCTGGGGCAGAGCAGCTGGGGTGCTGCTGGGTTGCTCCAGTAGCACCGCTCCTCGGTGCTACTGGACCAACCCAGCAGCACCCCAGCTGCTCTGCCCCAGGAGTCCTGATTCAGCCACTGCTGAAACTGACCAGCAGCGGCTGAATCAGGACGCCTGGGGCAGAGCACTTGGGGTGCTGCCGGGGTGGTCCAG